GACATTAATGTCTTTAATTAGTTTCATAACCTTTTTATAATATGTAATGATTTTTTTATATTTGAAAAACATCATTATATAATAATTTTTTAATAAATATCATATTTCGTCATCATCTTTTATCTCGTAAACAACCCAATTTGCTCTTTTTAACAGTTTTTAATAATTTGTTTCAAAACTGTTTAAATAATTTGTAATTAATATTAGGTGATTTTCCTGAAAAATAGATAAAACCAAATATAATATAATTATCATAATGGAATTATTTTTTATTTTTCATACAAAAAATGTTTTGTGCATATATTTTTTATATAAAAATTTATAATATTTTTGAAATAAAAATTTGAAAGCAAAAAAGAACATAAATTACAACTAAATCAATTAAAAGTTAATGAAAAAAGTCAACTTTAGCAAATTATTGTAAAATAAATAATTTATTGTTATAAACAAATAACATTTTGTGTTATTTCAAAAACATTAATTAAAAACAAAAAATAATTAAAAAAAATTGTAAAACCAAACAATGTTTATTTTTTATATTTACGTTAATAAAATTGACGTTTCAAATACAAAACGGAGTTTCGTTGTTGTGGTTGTGTCACCTCATAAACAGTCAATTGCGACCACTTAATGTTTGTTTTTGTAATTGAAAATAATGATTTAGTACGTATATAAAAAAGCAAATTTGAAAGTTATCAAATTAATCATTTGATTATTCGTTTAATCATCACAACACAATTCAATAATTAAAAATTTAAATATAGCATTTAGAAACAATTAATTTATTACAACAAATTTTGACTTTTAAATATATTAAAGAAACGCCAAAAACGCAGCGAATGTTAAAATGTCACACATTCAATCCATTAATCAAATGAATCAATTTCTATATGAAATTATCAATGTGTAAAATCAGCCGAGATCGATTATGGTTGTAACTTACAGTTTTATAATGTACAAATTATTTTTTGTATATAATCACAAATAAAAGCGTTGATATTTCATAGAATTATAGTTCGGCTCGATAGTTTAATATAAAACTTAATAATAATACAAACCAATACAAATCGTTGTTCATAATAAAATATGGTTAATCCTATCGATAGACTTTTTTCTGCCAACTCTAAGATAATTATTAATAAAATCTTAAAACAATGATAAAAAGTTATATAAAGCTTATGTAATAAGTGCTATTTTTTTGTTTGACAAAACAAATAAATTATAATAGTAGTAACATAAAAATAGTGTCATATTGGCAGTGTTCACTGAATGAACCAAAACCAAAAATTGTAGTTGATATTAGCATAGAATAACATGTTTCTGTGTTATATTAAAAATAGAGTCAAATGGTTGTAATAAATCACAACAATAAAACGAAACCATGACGTCGCTTTAAAGACAGATAGAAGCTGATTAAAGTTGCAAATAAAAAGAATAATTGTTGATTTATAAAACAACGTCTCTAATGCAAAATAATTGATTATTGAGCAACCTAGATATAAAGAATAATATAAAAATGTATTTATTGTAATTGACAATAAACAGATATATTACTGATAATGTAAAACAATAATATAAATTATACACCAAATAAATCAATAAAATAGCATTGATAAACGAAGAAGTTTGATTTTTTTATTTGAAAAATCAAAAACACAATTATGGTTTTCATTATACATTTAAACACTTTTATCATTAGATTATTGAAATGTGTAATTATATACATTTTAATGTCAAACTTCATCAACGAATAATTGATTAAACAGTTCATATATTTGAAAAGAAGTTGGATAACAAAACAAAAATATGTGGATTATACATATTAAAAATGGTGTTAAAAGTTATAATATATTTGATACTTAAACTGTTTTAATGATTGCTTGTTTGATTTATTTTTTGATAAAAACTCTTTTAGAGATTTGTCGCTTTTTGAATACCAAAGGGTGAAATATAAAACAAATAAACAAAAATTGTTGACAGACTTGCTACATAATATTTTCAAGAAGAACAAACAAAGAAGATACACATTTTATACAATTCGTTACTTAAATTTTTGAATTTATTGTTATGAATATTGTATGTGCATATATTTTATATTAATTATCACTTATATTTTCATGTCACTTCTTGCAATTTCTGTTTCATTTCGAACAAATTTGATGATAGTTTTTTATTATTTTATGTTTTTTAAAGTATGTTATTTCAAAATAAATATTATTTCATTTTACCAGTGTTAATGTTTTGCCATTTTTTGCGTTTATACTATAAATTTTTATATTTTTTTTCATTTTTCTCAATTTTTTGATCACAATTTGAACCCGTTGTTTCATTTTCGTTTTATTATAATTGAACTACATTGTATAATATATTTTTTCAAAAAAAACAGAAACATTGTTCTTTTTAACAGTATTGGTTCTTTGAAATTAGGTACGTCGGCGAGTTAAACAGTTTTTAATTTTTGTTTTTAAATTATCAAAATAATCTGGAATAATGACAATTAAACAAAGAAACCTTTGCCAACAGACTTTAGAAAAAACATACTGACAAACATATTCTATCAAATAGTAAAAACATTTAATACAAAAATTATTTTCAAATAGTGAAATATTATATTTTAATTTCGAATAAAATTATTTTTATTTAATACATATGCAACCTTCGTGTTTTCCACAAAATTAATTTATCAACGAAAACCCTTTTACACAAAATTATAAACCAAAACACAATGTAGAAAAAGATAATTCGTTGAATAGATTCGACTAACTTGTTAAACAAAAGCCGATTCCATCATTAAAAAGCCGGCAACTCCAAATCATTGCCACTATCTTTTCAATAAATGAAAGATAATTAAATTTGACCGGAATATACTGAATACCTTAAGTATTCTCTTGTTCTTATCGACAAACTATCTTATAATCATACGTTTTTCACCGTGAATCATCACAGGAATCAAATTTGTTTGATCAAAGAAAAAACAGAATCAACAGATAGAACAATTGCAAAATTGTTTAAAGTTTCACGTTGAACAATTTCCGAACATGTGAAAATTGGGAAAATGATCAAGCAAAAGATAATGGAAGAAAAAGTCTGTTCAACAATAACACATACGCGGCAGTTTGTTATTTCATTCGTTACTGTTCATAAAGAAAATTTGCTGTAACAGTTTCCACAGTTATCGAAATGATAAAAAAAGTCCAACCCAATATCAACATTTCGCGAGATACGACAATACACTGGATTAATAATACATTCAGCTTTTACTATCCAAAGAAATATGTGAAGATTTTGGTCGATTTAATGTTGATCCAATTCAAGTTCAAGACAACTGTATTAACATGACCAATTTTAACGAAACGCCTTCCAGTTTATAATTCAATTTAGACGAAATTGTATTTGATAACCCGGCCGATAAAAAAACAACAATATATTGATGCCATCGAGTGTTATAACCGATAAAGTTAAAGTTGGTTATTCAAAATCTTGTTTCATGTGTACCGTTTAAACTTGTATATTTATAGATGGCTACAGTTCTTGTTAACATTCCAACAGTTACTATCAGTGTTGACGATGTTCTTAGATATCCATATCTTTTGTTTTCAACGTTTAAAAGTGGATTATTCAAAAGCAACATTTGTTGTTTGGTTGAAACATCATTTCAAACCAAAAGTGCATACAAGAAAAATAGAGTTGAGATTGCCACATAAAATTTTCGCAGTCGTTTTTATGTAACAGTTTTATGGTCACATTAATGAAGAAATTAAGTTATGGCTGTCGTGTCACTACATCAAAATTAATAACTATGTGCCACATTCATCACATATTGTACAACCACTCGACTTGGTGATGTTTGGTTTGTGGAAAAAAGACATCTTTACTTCCATTGCTTTGTTTAAAACACAAAACTAATTAAGTTTTAAACTTGTTGATGGTGACTCTAAAGGAGACGAACAACAATGTTGTTTCAAACAATATTCCACTACTTATAATGTAAAACTTTGCTTATCGCTCAGGAATGCTTCAAATACCATTTGACGTGTCATCAAAAATATCTGATTGTCTTCACAACAAAGGAAAGAAATCCACAAATGGTGAATGTATCGCAAAACACGTTGAACGTATTTTAAGATCTTATGAAATAATAGAAACATATGGAAATATACAATCCTTTTCCAAAAAGCCGTAATTTTTTCAAGGTTTCATAATAGTCAAACATGCGCCTTTATTGATATCACATTTGCAACAAACTTTCTTGGAAAATATAATATAATAGTTGTGTCAAGATAAAAAACGTTAAAGTTGCAGAAAATTTGTCCTTTTAAAAATTTTCCTTGGCAATTCATTGATAGCTTATGATATTAATTTACTTGGAGATCCTTCAAATAATACTTCTTTTGGATTTGAAATAATTGAAAAGGAATTGATGCACCTTAGAAACAAAAATATTGATGTGCAAGTTGTTTTTTGACTTTGAAAATGCTTAAAAAATTCAATCAACCCAGGCCCCAAATACAAATTGATAACTTACCACATAAACACTTTACAAATAAAAATTGTTGAGAAGAAGAAACCCATGTTTACTTCAAAAAATGAAAAATAGTCAAAAAGAGTAAACATTATCTAAATAAACCAATTCGTATGCCTCGTACTTTTATCAATTGTCAACGTAATTAACACCTCAATGAACAAAACTGTTATTTATAATTTGATTAGAATAACAGTTAAAATAAATCAAATCGATTTGGTCGTTAATGTTTCGCAGCCCAGAAAACTTTGATGATTTTTTTGGCTGTGTAATGCACTTCTTTATATAAACTGTTTTTCAAAACTCTGTTTCGTTTCCAAAATTTATAAAAACCCTTTATCCTAATATTCTATATTTTTCTAATTTTTATTTTTCTTTTCGTTGAAACAACAACAGTACACGGTTTTAACCTCAGTCCTTTTAGACTGTCAAACACTTCTCTTTCTTTTCAAACGATTAAATCAAGGTAGTGCCAAAGGTGTTCAATGGAACTCAAGTCAAGACCGTTTGCTGGCCAATCTTTCAAGACTGAAACTCTGAGATTTTTCTCAAGAGTCTTGAACCATTCGATTGTACTCTTTGCAGTGTGAGGTCTGGCACCATCTTGTTGAAATGTCATTCAATGTTTGTAAATATTGTGGGCGTCCACAAACAAACGGGAGTCCGCAAGCAATTTTGGTAGCATTCAGCATTTAGCTTACCTTCAACAAAAACCAATTTGGATTTAAAGTTTTTGCCAATGCTCCTTATACCACCACTCCTCTGTTGTATTTTGGGGTTGGAACAAACGCCTCTTCATTTAGATCCCCCTTTCTCCTCCAGACACATCTGCCATCAGAATACATGTAGAATCTGCTTTCATCAGAGATGATGGCGTTCTTCAACCATTTATTCAAATTTCTGGCATTTCCGATTTGTGTCTTGGGAAATTTCAAACGGTTTGCAATATATGTAGTTGTCATTGTTGGTCTCTTTATTTGTTTAGCTAATACAAACTTGTTTTCTTTTCTTATGCGATATACTATAGAATTTTTTAATAATTAAAACAGAAGAAACAGAAATACACGAAGAAAATGGATCACTTAAAGTCTTTTCAACCACATTTACTTCAACTTGAAAATCTACTTTCTTGTGCTTTTCAACTTTTCTCGGTTTGACTTCTTCTCCTTTTTTAATTTTTGTAATAGTGTCTTTTGACACCCCACACTCCTTTGAAATGGTTCCAAATAATTTCCCTTCTCCCATTGCAAATTTTACTCGTTCATGCTTTTTTATTTTTTTCTGAAACATAACCAGCTGATTCTGTAAAAGTAGACATTGAATTATAATGTTTTTTTATTATTTTGGCGAATTTTGTGTTATGGTAATCAAAAATTTAATTCCAAGTTTGTTTTTTATATTTTTCAAGTAAAATTAAAA